GACGGCGGCGGCAACCGGGGACTCAGCGAGTAAGGCGAGCTGGTGCTCCAGGAAGGAAGGGGGAGCTGTAGCCCGGACGCGCCGGCCGTGAGCCGCGAGGGCAGGGCGAGCCTGTGTGTGAGTGTGTGTGCGCGCGCGTGTGTGTGCGCGCGCGCGCGTGTGAGTGTGTAGTTGGCGAAGCCCCCCCATCCCCCCGATTTAAAACAAACACACCAATCCAAAGTAGAGAATCCCGCGCCCCCCGCCCCACCATATATAGGCTCTACGCGTAGCAAGAGGCGCGGGAGAAAAGTCCTGCCCTTGCTCTGCTCAAGAATGTGCCAGCCGGGTGTCCGCAGTGCTGGAGACAAGTTCAGGTGTAAGTGCGGCGGCGGGGAGGGCGCCCTGCGGAGCGGCACGTGGAGCTCCGTGCGTCCCTCCCCGAACCCGGCGCTGCAGCCCCGGGAAGGCTAGGGAGCGTCGCCCCGGGCCGCGGGGAGGAGCCGCGGGAGGTGGGCATGAGCGCAGAGGCGGGAGGGCGCGGGCGCTCGGCGCGTGCGGCACAGGGCGAGAGCGGCGTTCGGCGGAGTTGGAGCGGGCGAGCCCCGAAGTCTGGCCGGGCTGTCGGGCGATCTTCGTGGGGCAAGTGACTAAAATGAGCATCCTGGTTTAAACGACGAAATCACGGGCTCCTTTCTCATAGGCTCTGCCGCGCGGTGCTCAGGGGGAGAGAGGTCATGAGTTGTTGCTTTGAAACTTTTGGTAAATTGGACTTCTGGTGTCTAGGAGGTGGAGACACTTCTTTAATTCCTCAGCATTTAATCCTTTCATTGCCAGCAGACTTTAAAAATGTTTTCCAACTAGAATCCTAAGGGGGAAAAAAAACAGCAATACTGCAAGTTGCACAGCTTCGGGGACAGGAGAAGTGATTGCTGTCTAGGAAATGCAAAGCGTGCTCACATGGTATTTTTTCTTTTTAAAGAGAAAATCAAACTAACACTGGTATTAATGCTTGACAGTGTCAGTCCCCTTTTTATTTTCCTTTAGAGTTCCTGGCATTTAGTACCGGGTTCCTTTGTTTTGTGGAGCAAATGTGTTGAAGTATAAAATGAAATTTTTTTTTTAAAAGATTACTGGTCTCTTTAAATAATATATGTGAAAAGTAATGTAAGTATGATGAGAATGAGATGCTCCAAAATCTGATCATTTGCAAGGTTTTACTGCCTAAATATGTGAAGTAAGGTGAGGTAGCTTCTTGATAGTTTTAGGCAGTGTATCATTCTGTCTTGTTTTGAGCTTTTAACAGATTTCCCAGGTAGAGGAGGGAGACCATTGTCCCGTCTCTGAGAGCTTATCCCAAAAAAGGTCTCTCACATGTGTTGGTGTTTAATATTCTCAGGATATGTTCATTTTGTGATGTGAGTGGGGGTAAACATAGCATTTAAAAAAAAATAAGCCTTTTATTGACTTGTCTGTAAAGGTTCCTGTGAAAGTTTTGAAGCTCTCTGCCTTAGTCTGACATTTTCTTCAAAGGACTCCAGATTAAAGAAGATAGACACGGCAGGTGCACTGTTTTGATAAAACATTTGAAAGAGAACATGGTTAAAGTGAATTCAAATGAAGTGCCAGTCACCCATTTAGCCCTTCAGAGTTGCAGGGGCCTGTGCTTGCTGATGAAAAGATGTTCTATTTGCCTTGCTGGGGCAAAGGTGCAGAGAGGCACAGATGTTCACTTGGTAGAGAAGGCAATCCTACGTTCACTAGGATAGAGTGGATCATTTACGTGCGACTTGATCACCTTCTAGGTTCCATCTCTTCTAGGCTTCCAGTGGCAGGGTCTAATGCTAACTCCTGTAAGTCACTGCGTAGATATTTACACAATGGGTATGTATATTTTATTTCCAGGCTATTTAGTGGTTTTGCTCCAGAAACATTTGAACTGTTTCTGGCACCGGGTGCAGAGATTGTTACTGAGAGGTCACAATGGTCTAGACATGCATTTTGTTTCCTTCGCCTCTAATGTTCTGTGTTTCACACAATAGACATTGATGGCAGGAACATAAGAATTGCCATCATTCTAATTTGTGCAAACACTTTTAAGTTCTCCCAGTCTGAAACTGTGTGTGTGTTTTTTTCCCTCTGTGCTTTGATGGCTAACATTCTTTTTAATGACAGTGATTTCTATAACAGGAAGATGTTTTCATTTGTATTTACTTTTCAGCATGGCGCAATTATGCAGTTTTGCGCTTCAGTCATGTCTCGGTACTTTGTGTCTCAAAAGAGAATTACAGTACTTAGAACAGGACTGCAATTTGAAGCAGGTGTTGTGTTTTACTGTTATGCAAAATAACAGTAAAATATAATTGTGGGGGAAATTAAGGAAACAGCTGCAAACTTGGTATGGAAACTGCTACATTATGATTTGTAAGCAGTTCTTATAGGTATCTTACATCAGAGGGGCAGGGAAAGATTTTAATTTCGTTAATCCTGCTGGCCTGGTTTTCTATCAACTGGTGCTTAAAGGCCTCATACCTCCCATGAAGTCAGGAGGAAGAAAGTGAACCCAAAGGGGCACTGTTTCAAATGCCAGCGCACCAGGGATTCCTCTCTTGGCCGTGCTGTTGTACATTAGCTACGCAGGCAAGGTGGGTGCTGTTTAGCTCGCTTTGCTAAGATGAACAAGGCAATGATTTGAGCAGAACGCTGTGGACTTCCTTAGCCCAGCCAGCATATGGAGGACTACACAAGCCCCGGGTTGTAAAATAATAAAATAAATGGCCTATAGCAGGCCATCTGCCTTTTGCTTGATATTTAAGGTGTTTCATGCCAAATTTAAATCTCATCTTATTATTCTACATATTTTTATCTGAGATAGCAGCTAAGACTCCGGAGCTTAATGGTGCACTCGGCAAATGTATTCCGATGTGGAGCACTTAAAGCAAGAGCGCGGCTTACCCAAGGGTTACCGCCGCGGCTTCCCGGTGCACTGATCGATGGCAGCAGCCTCCGTGCAGGGATGCGCTTTCCTCAGTCTTTGCACACCTGCCATAAAAGTAAACATCCTCATTTCTGAACCCAGTGCAGCAAATCATATATTCACATTTGAAAGAGGATTCGAAACTAGTGGAAACTTACCAAAAAAAAAAAGTATGAAACCAACTACCGAGAATTATGCAGCAACGAGCAAGAACGAAGCCCGAGGTAGATGTAATGGCCCCCCTCCTTTCCTGCTCCCTCCCGGCTGGAAGGGGGCGATCGTGAATGCATCCGAGGTGGTGGTCCAGGCCTGGGTGTGCTTGCCTTTCCCCCAAGTGACTGCAGTGTTGAGAGAAATTATATGACATTGAGAATGCAGAATTTGCCTTTCCCTGAAGTTCTTTGCAGGAGTGGAATGCATACGTGTACCGGGCCTTGAGGACCTGTGTATTATAGGGGCTGCCTGTGAAAGAAAAAATTATGTGTAATGTGTGCATACAGGATGTGTGTAGTACAGGTACACACAGGTGTTGTTAACGAGCACAGCGTTTTAAACGTACATTTGCCATTGCATTTTATGGCTGTGCTAAGCATTGAGATTTCAGATTGTTATATGACACCAACTTTGTACAGACCAGATATTCCAATTAGCAGGGAAGGTTTGGAAGAGTCTCCCACTTCCAGCACAAGCCATTTATAGTCAGACGCCATGGCAACTGTGGATATGGCCCTTCTGTAACTCACGTTAAGTGCCATAATTATAATTAAAGAGGAAATCTTCGTTTGAACGCCATTGAAATGATTTGCTAGCAGCCAGCGGTGTCACATGGAGTGTAATGTCCACTCTGAAGTGCTCGCGGGGTAGAGAGCTGGGAAAGGTTGTATCCACGAGGCAGCAACACATACTGAGATTTTTTTCTCCCCCCTGAACCAGTTTCACATCCAGGTGCCACATTTGATGTCTCTTAGAATACCCTTTTCCTTTGTTCTCATTTTATCATTTTTTTTTCCAGAGACACACACCAGTATTGATGAGCAGACCCTTGGGCTCAGAGGTTGGCTGAGACGCACCATGCCTGCTTCCATCCTTCGCTCCGGAAAGCTGTGAGTTGCTCATGCCTATAGGGAGGAAGGATGGCACATGGGATTCCTTCTCAAGGCAAAGTTACCATAACGGTGGATGAATACAGCTCTAACCCCACCCAGGCATTCACGCACTACAACATCAACCAGAGCAGATTCCAGCCGCCACATGTACATATGTAAGTATCGCTCATGAACTTTAAAAAGCTAACCATCAAGGAAATAGACATAAAATAAGAGGGTCGCTAATGACTTCTGCCGGGGACAATAAAAGGCGTATGATTGTCAGAACAGATGCGTACCTGTGGTTCCACTACAGCTTGGAGGAATGCCCTACATCTGTGTGACCCTCCCAGTTTTCAGAGTACTTTCAACCACAGTTTGATTTCCAGAGCCTGTCATGGGTGGTGGTAGGTTGCCCACATTTTATGGATAACAACAGAGAGGTTAAGGTATCCGCCTAATGTCACACAGTGAATTTTGGCAGAGCCTCCACCTGACCCCTAGCTCAGTTTGCTTTACATTATATTGCTTGTCTCCATGAGGAAATATTTCTTGAACATTTCTAGTTTTTTCCCCCTCACCTCACTTCGCCACCCCTTTACATCCAGCTGGGAAATAGCCTAATCGGGACTAATTGTTCAGCCCCTGCTAAATCCATTGTCTTGCCTGTTGCTCGTGGAAAGTGTGCTGCATGTGCACGACTCAAACACTACGGGGGACAAAAGACTAAGGGACAGTGGAGCATTGGTTCCAGGAATTGTACTTTTCTCTCACTCCCTAATGCTATTTAAATTAAGCGCGGTTTAAACTGTTTCAGTAACAAAGTGTGGGAGAAATCAAGAGGCAGGGATTTCGCAGCACCTGGATGCACCAGCTTTTTTCTATTCCCCTGCCACAGGATGTGCTGGGCTTTCAGCAGATGGGGCAAAAGGTCACCATCTCCCTTGTTTATTCAAGGCCTGGTGCTCATTCTCTGTGAGACCCTTCCAATGTCTAACATGAGTCTTTCATAGTGGGACTAAACCTCTTTGAAAACTATTGTATAGTCAAGAGAGAAAGGAGGTTAGGGCTCTGTTGACTGTTTTTGCCATTCCTGGCAAAATTGAATTCGGGGCATGTCCAAGTCACAAGCCCTTTTTTTTAGTAATTGTTTTATTTGGGCATTTAAAAAAATGGTAGGACCGCCCTCCCCAAACACACACACACACACACACACACACGCACACACACTCAAAAGTTAGAAACACTAACCAAGCAAAAAGATCTTTCTCTTGACTGCCTGGGTATTAGTGTAAAATAGGATGTTACTTTGCAAGTGTATCCAGTAGAGCCAACTCAGTTACCTGTGATGGAATTTCTAAAGAAGAGAAAGAAATCCTTGTAAATGGTTCGTGATAAACTATTTCTAAGAATTTTATACTTCTTTAAATCAGAATATATTCATGATTATAAAGGATTGCTAACATGAATTTAAGGAAAAGTTTTAAAGTGAATAATATTTTTTTTGTTAAAATGTTTTTTCCTGAATAATTACTGTGTCTTCATTTCAATATTCCTTTTTTTCTCCTGCTTTTAATAATTTTTTTCTTCAACTGTGTGATAGAATTTGTGCAAGTGGAGGTAGGATACCGTTAGCTCTGTTTTGCTGGGGTGATGTTTGGTATTAAAGAATTGCAAAGAGCTTTGGGGATTCTGTTTCCTTTCAGGCAAAAGAAAGTATGTTTTGTCCCAGATTTCTTGGAAAATGACTGACAGAGAATCTCAGCTTAGTCTTTACTTGTTTGTAGCCGTAAGATTCCACTCCTGAACTATGAATGCACAGAGATTTAAAAATCATGTAACTTTAGAACTGATCTGCTTAGATCTAGGCATAAGATATTTGAAGGACCAGATTATACCTTTTTGGAAAAAAAAAAGACTTGAATGGAGTTTTCATTGGCAGCCTAGAGAGCTGTGTAGGCCTTTGACCAGAAGACTGCCTTCCTGCCTTGGAGTAGAGGGTTCTTCCATGGTCTGGGTCCAGCTTGCCTTTCACCATCACCCACTCAGGGCTTCCTACCTGAACCCTTTGCTCCAGCCACACAAGTTGGCTCCCTGTCACCTGGGCACACCTTGAGCCTGTCCATTTTGGCAGCGCTGCTTTCGCTATTTCTCACAGCAGAGACACTCACAGTTATGCTCCGCTCATCAGATGCCCCAGAGCCAGTTCAGGCCCTTCTACGTCTGTGAAGCCTCTTCAGTCTCCCAGTCCACACTGACTGTGCGCCGCCCCCCCATCGATGCCCCTGGTCATCACTAATTTCAATCCACACCACCTGCATTACTATTATTTGTTTTCTCTCTCTCTCCTGCTTCATTCGTTTCTTAAAGGAATGGATTGAGTAGGTAACAGGTGTTCAGAAACACTGATAGATTGATTGATCCATTCATTGCTTGGGCATTGAGATGCGAAATTCTGTTGGAGATTTGGAGATTTTCACTGGAATTTCTCGGAGCTGTTTTAACATTATGAGTGTTTGGATGAAGGTGTATGCGTATCATCGATGTTGACCCACCTTTTCCTTCCCTTTACGCAGGGATTGCTCCATACTAGGCATCCAAGTATCTTGGTGAAATGTGAGAATGTTACATTTCTATTACATTTTTTTTTTGAAACAAGATTGCCCTTAGTCCAAATAGAAATTTAAATTGGCTGGAAAATATCCACAAAATATTTAAAGTTTCTTCCATTTTCCTGAAATTTTCAGCATGTTATACAGAGCTTTGCTCCTCTCTCTGGAGGTAGTTTGTCTTTTCCACTTGAATAGTTGCTCATTTATTTTGCAGGGGATTCTTAAAACATTTGTTTTCCTTTTGCACTTACAACTGAGGTCTATGAGAGCCAAGACAGATCACCTGGATTGGGGTTACAGTCTTGCTCCCTTAAATGATCTGTTGTTTTCTTTCATGCAGCCTAGTTGGGTTTTTTTCACCCTAATTAAGGAATAGCTCACCTCCCATTTAAGTCACTCAGTCTCACCTCAGCTTTGGAACCCACCTTGGGCAATTTACTTCCCTTCTCCAGGCCTCAGTCTACTCATCTGTAAACATTTGCACCAAATGATAATTCTGGATCTTTTAGCTCTAACATCCTAAGATGAGGATTGCAACTAAGACAGTATTTATTTGCAGGGTGTTGCTATGGGGGGGAACACAGACACATAAGACCTGGTCTCCATCTTCCTGAAGCCCAGCACAGATTTCAGAGCTGGCTTTAAGACGTTGACTGCTTTGTCTTGGTTTGCTGTTACCTGTGAGTTTCAATGAGGCTGCCACCACGCTTTCGAAAAACCACTGGCCTGCATCTCTGCCTGTGACATAGGGAAGGTTTTGTGTTGTTTTTTTTAAAGAAAGCAATCCTATATGTCCTTGGGAAAGAAATTTAAAACACAGCTGGAGTTGGCAGGGCAGAATTTAACCTAGAATTTGTGTGCCCCTCTTACCCAGACTTTTGAACGCACTAATAGATGTGATGATTGAAAACCAACAATTAACAGGGCTTCATTTTTCTGCAACCCTTTCATCTTTCCTAAGAAGACTGTTGAGAAAATTATTTAGTATTTAATGATGGTGGGAGGAGGTGCTAAAGGAGCCAATGTAGGTTTGCAAACACCATAATGATTTTGTATGTTTTTAATTACCTGAGGCCTTATAAAATACTTCAGACCTTTTTGGTAGAGTGTCCAACCATCTCGGTTTTTGCAGTGAAAGCCCTATGTTCTGGGAGACCCCTTAGTCCCACGCTAACCAGGAGGGTTGGTCACTTGTTTAATCCCTCATTTTTTTCTTTAAGGGTTGTTTGTTAAGAAGCTGAAATCAAATTTTATTTTCAGTTTTAGTTACTTATTTTATTTGCCTATATCTTTGGTTGGCAACACCCCTGGGGTCTTCTTTTATTATTATTATTATTATTAATGTTTATCTTTATTGTTGAAAGTATTACAGATGTCCCCTTTTTTCCCACATTGATCCCCTCCACCCCGCATCCACCCCATCCCAGGCCTTCCCCATACCAATGTCTATGTCCATGGGTTATGCTTATAAACACATAAGTTCTTTGATTAATCTCTCCCCACCCACTCCCCCACCTTTCCTCTGAGATCCCTCAGTCTGTTCCATGCTTCTGTGTCTCTGGATCTATTTTGTTCATCAGTTTATTTTGTTTATTAGATTCCACATATGAGTGAGATCATGTGGTACTTGTCTTTCTCTGCCTGGTTTATTTCACCTAGCATAATACCCTCCAGTTCCCTCCATGCTGTCCCAAAGAGTAAGATATCCTTTTTTACAGCTGCATACTATTCCATGGTGTAAATGTACCATAGCTTTTTGAGGCTTCTTTTTAAAAAAATAATATTTTTCAATTATGGTTTACATTCAATATTATTTTATATTTGTTTCAGATGTCTAGCATGGTGGTTAGACTAGTACTTTACAAAGTGACCCTGGGATCTTATTAGCTCTGGTTCTTTTGCACTTGTTTTGGGAGATGCCGCAGCATGGTGGTACAGGGTGGTGAACATCTCAGTGGAATCGGGTTGCTGGATTTAAAACCTGGTTGCACGACTTACTAGCTGTGTAACCAAACATGGAGAAATGTATTCACTTTTCTGTGTTTGCTTTTTTTCCCCCATTTGTAAAATGTGGACAGTAAAAATAGTGCCTAACTCAAAAGGTTTCTTTGAAGGTTAAAAACAGTATTATTTGTAAATTTCTTAGAGGAGTGCTTAGTATGTGGCCTATACTCAATAAATGTTAGATGTTATCATTAAGGTTGTTCTATTGATTCTGCGTTTTTTATTCTAAGCTGCTTCAATTCATTTTGAGAATCAGTAGCGTATAAATATATGAATTAATAAGAAAATAACTCACTGGTAAGTTTTGTCCAGCAAACTTTTCTGGGTGGGTTGGCAGGTATCCTGACTTTTTAGTGTCTGTCAAGGTCATAGCTTAGAAGTGTCTCACCTCCCTCTAGTTACTCTAGAGGAGTGACAGTCCCTGGGGGAAGGAATCCAGTGCGCTGAGTGTTGCCTGATTGTTCTCTGGGGAATCTCAGTGGCCTTCCTCCACTTGGGCTGATCCCAGGTCCCTGTACCCCCATCAATGGCTGAGGCTCCCCACCTGACTGAGGTTAAAA